CCCACCTCCCAATGCACATCATATCCTGAGGAGGGGGGGGGGTAATGAGTTCAGGGGGAAAAGATAAATTATGATTTAGAAAAAAAACGACACAATAAAATAATCATTTACTAAATTGAGCCGGGCGTGTGAAAAGCATCAAAAATATCGGATAGGGAATAAATTGGAAGATTAAAAAAGTAAAACCATGATTTACAAAATCGTTTTATGAAAAAGGGATAAGAATTTTATGATTCTAGGGAAAACGAAAAATATATATATGTGATATGAGATCTGCTTCTAAATATACCCCCACTAACCAACTCATTTTAAGTATGCATTTACCCCCCCCCCCCACACACACACACAAATATTTTTGACACGTAATAAGGATGAGACATATTGCACACATGCTAAGGACACAAAGAGTGTTGGGATGGGGGGTGTCATGGAGAGGGGGAGGTGTCAATAATTTGGTAGAAACTGGCATGAGGGGGGTAGCATCACAGAGGAACTAACATGGTATTGAACAGTTGGTATCTTAAAGAGGACGACAATGTTGTAAATACCATTCTACATCACAACATAAATCGAACATAGACCTGTCAAAATATACGTGAAATAGAATTATAAAATGAGCAGAATATTAACTCAACGGGAAGCATAATTTCATGTGACCCATAATTCAAATACGGCAATGACCTATGTACAGTGAACACACGGTTTTAAGGGTATCGTTGTAAATCGGAAGGAAGGTAAATTGAAATTACACTTACAGTCCCTTTTAAACTTTTCAGTTGTACTTTGTTAAAAAATGCCAAATATCATATTGAATTTCAAAATATAACAATATCGGATATAATATTGAGGTCATGGGTGGGGAAGGACGATAGCAAAAGATATCAAAATGTATTCCTTAATCGGTGTGTACTTTTTAGAACTTCTTTACCCCAGACCCCCCCCCCCCCTTTCTCTCTGTTTTCATTATAACTATATAATTTAGTTATTACGAGCAAATCAGGTCAATTTCCGTTACAACTTAACTTGTATAAGGTTTTATCTAAAATACAGAGATGTCAATTTGTAGGTAGACAGCTCAGAATCAAACGTCTGAACCATAAAGAAAATTTTTGGGAGGGAATGGGGCAACGTTAGCCCCACTGAAGGTTTTAGTCTGGTCTGTGTGAAAAACTAGTGTTTTTTGTTGCACACAATAACTTGTTGATAAGTTTATTTTTAACATACCAATTTCCACAAATTATGCCAATAAAGGTAAATAAAGAAATCAGATTTGAAAAGTACAATAAGAACGTCTGGTGTTGGGATAGGTATATATAATGGTTCCCATGAAAGGCAGGAGAACAGGTATATGGGAACTAGGACACAGCCCTCGGGGCACAAGTGGTTTCTTTCACGAGGGGGGGAGNGAAATAGGAAGAAAAGGAGAAAGGGGAGAAATTAATCGACAACATATCGGAAACCAACTTTTTTTAAACAATAAACCTTCAAAACAATTCTCAAGTTCTTATTAGGTATAACATATTTTGTATACGTATACATAATATTGTAATGATTTAAGAATTTATTGTGTTCTAACTAGAGCGTATTCTACGTATCATATTCAGGCGTTTACAGGCCTTTGCTAGGCAGTTACAAGCATCTGCTTTCATAGTGCTTACCGACATGGGGGTAGGTACCAAGGGGGAGGGGTACTTGATTGCGTGGGAGTATGGAGGGTTGAGTAGGGATTGAGGGATTAGACCTACTTTGATTTATATAATTGGACATAATGTGGAATTTTAGGAGGGGCCATAGAGAGGGATTAGAGAACTATATAGGGGGGGATAGGTTGGAAGGGGAGAAGATAGAAGGGAGTGGGAGGGAGTCTAGAGGATTATACGGAAGCAGGAGGTTGGGCCTGAATTTTTGAAAACATTTCTAACATTATGAATCACTAGAATTGACATCCCGGTGACTAATGAGACCTCCCCCCCTTTTCCATCACCCCCTTCCCTATCTCTCTATCCTTCACCCCACCCCCACCATTTTAACTAGAATTAATATCTTAACATGTAATAGAACACCCTTGGAGATAAAATTAGATAACATCATATTTACAAAAATAAATAATAAAACATTTCTTCATCTTTCTCTGAACTTTTTTAACGGGTATATTGTTTTGCCCTAACAATAACTTTTATAAATCAGTTTTCAAAATATTTAGTTATTTTTTGCTTGAAAAAAAACGTTTTTCTTGAAAAAAACCGTNTTTTGAAAATATATTTTTTACTGTTATTAAATTGGTGTCTTTTATGACGTTCAGTCTCTTGTTGGGGGATAAAATTGGGATAAACTGTTGAAAACTGAACAGAGTTTCAAGTGCTTCTCTTTTTTGTGGCATATCTGATTCACAACGATACCCTTGAATTTGTCCGATGAAGATTACAGGACATGTCCATCATCATCTCATTTTTGAAATGTCTTTATATTTTTGGTTTCTGTAAATAATAATTTGCGCATTTCTGATTCAGGAATAATTGCAGGAATTGTCAGAATTAAATACTTTAGACTACAAAAATGATTTATTAGTGAAAGGATTCAAAGATAATGTTGTAAATCGGGTATGGCCATTTTCAAATGGAGAGACAACATTGACATAAAATGAAAAACTTCATAAAATAGGAAAAATTTTAAAATGTTCATGAAACCGGAAGGAAGGGGGTGGGAGGGCCTAGGGATGGGAGGGAATCTAGGTCTGGGATGAAAAATTGATATCTAATGGTTGTATTAAAAAATGATGACTGATTAATGGTTTTTCTTCTTACAGATAAATATATAATATATATATAATGAAATAAAACATAATTATAAAATTAGAGCAAGGAGAAAGAAAAGAACAAAAAATTAAACGTTTTCAAATTGATTTCCCATAAATCAATACAAGTGTACGCTATATCGATAACATTTCAAAACTATATTTTCATCAGAAGAACATAATATTTTAATTTTATGATTTTTAGACTTTAACTTAAAAAATTAATATTGAACAAATATGACGATCTTTGTGTTAAACAATTGTTTGTCCGTCTATCTATGAAACCCGAATTGTGATTTAACAAAGAAAACTAGCCCCCACCCCCCNGATCCTAGAAGAAAACTAAGAGACTTAAACTCCTTAAACCGTTGGAAAAATTAGAAAATGAGTGTAGTCGACATTGACAGAGAAAATTAACCTGGAAAACCAAACGTTTATATTCTGATACGCAAAGATGTTGCAGGAAGCTTCGAAATTTGCACAATCATTTTAAAGTTTGACTTGTAAAGACACCACACTGAGGCATTAGCCCTTTCTACAAAATAAAAACGCATTTGTTTAACATCAAATTTGATCTTACAACCGTGGATCGTCATAAAAATAAGCTTTCAGTGCATACTGCTGTGATCTACAGTACTCTGACCAAGGAGTATAGAATAGAAGGGAGATACAACTGACTCTGACCGATTTATTAGAATTGCAATGAATGTACTAGAACAAACTTAAACAGAATTTTGCTTTATTCCTTGATTTACTTCTTATACTATTCTGTACACAAACAAACATTAAACATAGGTGAAATATGTTGCTTATGAATCTTAATTATCAGTATATTTTCCTTAACCCACAAATCTTTTTAAAATCTTGATACATTTTCGAATTTTTAAAAAAGGAATTTATCAAATTCCATCGAATGATAATTTCACGAAAGCGAGACTTAAGGCTAACTCCTTCATTACTTTTAATTTTTTAATTACATAACCAATCAACCCCTAGCCCCATAATTGTAAACAACTACATAGGACCACACATGGCTCCTGGCCTAATGAAAGTTAGACAAAATTCTGAAATTCGATAGCTAAGAAAGTAATTAAATTAATTACTAAAAATTCGGGGCTTTCTAAAAAGTCAGTTAGTCAGCAGCGCTCGGCCCGGAATATGTCCCAATCTTTACCTAACCCCTTAAATAATTTTAAAAAATTGTTGAAAAATAAGTGGAAGGACCCAACAATGATGTGAATTGGAAAGTTTAAGTTTGTGGCAAGTAATCAATGAAAGTAGTATACATACTAATGTAACTGCCAAATGACATCTTAAAGTATTTTTTTACATAAAAATATAGCTAACATTCCTGTAAAGAGGATCGAGTCTTACATTTGACGAAGTTCTTTGTCTCGTGGTGACCTAATTCGTATTACTATGGCGAGAACTTAACTCTTAGGCATTAATCGTGTACACGAGGTAATCCCTGAGACATTAAATTCGCTAGGTTTATAGTTAAACCAGTTTTCTTTGAGATCTTCTACCTTGATATAATACAGAGCAAAGTAATGCTAGTTGAAGTATTTCTACTGTTGTGAAAAACTGAGCCATCTTGGTTTGAAATATTAAAGTTTTGCTAGAAGACTTTTTGCGTCCAGCCAATCCTCCGAAGCACAGAGAGCAGCCTCGAAAATCCTCTTTAATATTAAATCTTCGACACCTTCACTCTAACCCCAACATGGCTTTGTATTCTATGTAAATCACGTCACTAAACGTAGGTAAATGTGTCACAAAATGCGGGAAAATTTCACTCGAAAATCCACGAGATTGGAAACCAGAAAATTTCACTATTGTGTCGCACTGGTGGTAGTCTCCAGTGGAGCGGTGGAACGTCAAGTGAGTAACTGTACCGCCTTGCCGGTTACAGATTCTAGAGTCTAGAGGCGTGTAGCAGACTCCCCGGCCGCTCAATTATATTCGCAGTAAAACCAACACAAGGGTTTGACAAGGAAAATAAAGAAACAGATCAGACTTCTGTATATGTTGTATATAACTATAAGTTTTCCCAAACGATATATATTTTCTTAATTATTCGAAGTTTTAAGGGCTCGTTACTTTCAGGGCATGTTTAAAGTCACAATCTACTATTTGTAGATTTAAATTGCTTCTACGCTCAATCAGAAAATAATATATTGAAAATTTAGATAATTACAAAGTTGACTTTTTAATTGAACGTGAAGAAAATTGTGCGTTCTGAAGACTGTTGTTCCCCCACCCCTCTCCCCCCGGTTCACTCGAAGCTGGTTTTGTTGGTCCCCGGACCGTACCGCAACCACCAACCGGCTCGAGGGGACCCCGCCCGGAAGATCCACCAGCCGGTGCGGGGCTTCCGGTGAATCCCGTGAGATGGTTCCCTGGTTCCTCCTATAATCAAGATTTCCGGTTCCGGAGATAAATGCATACTTCGACTGCTTCTTAAGGATTCATAACTTTGATTTAACGATGTGGCCCGCCAATTATTTGAATGGAACTATTATATGTTTGATAATCCCGATCGTTTAATTAATCTGGAGATTAATAACAAGAGGAGAACAAGCATTATTTAATCTGGAGATTAAGAAAAAGAGGAGATCAAGCATTTATAATAGCTCGATAGCCACCATTCTAAAGTTTTCAGCTCAGTTGAGTTATAATCACCCAGATGCTGGAAACTTTTGAATGGTGGATATCGGGATAATGCTTGATCCCCTCTTTTTCTTAATTTCAAGATTAAATATATGCTTTTTCTCCTTTTATTATTAATCTCAAGATTAATTAACCAATCGGGATTAAGGATATCACAATCTTCACCTGTTTAACCCAGGGATGGATATCTGAAGCCCTCTAGTGGATTTTTTAAAACCGGCCAGGATTGATATCTGAATCCCTCCATGCAATGCTATAATATAAACCCCCTATATGGATACTGAAATTCTCAAGTGGNCCCTCCAGTGGAATGTAAACGCCCCCTGTGTAAAGTTTCAGGATGTAAATAGCGATTTGTCAAACCCCTCCAGCGAAAATGAAATCCCTCCGGTGGTCTCCATCGGAGTAAAAATCTTACTCCGGACTTCTGTGACTACGCGATTATGATGATAATTGTCCACTTTTATTTTCTTTGTTAAAATGCTTTCATTACGTAGGGGCTAGGGCAATTACAAATTATATAGGTCAGCAAATAATTGCATTTATTAAAACATAGATTTTAACGATTCTTTGTAGACACACAATTATGTACTTCATATTTGTCAGGGTTAATAACAAATTACAATATAAAACTTACCGTGAGTCATCAAAATTGATCGGTATACAACTTTTCCAGCTTCCATTAGTCATTTCAACAAAGCAAAAATAAAGTAGCAAACATGAAATAAAAGTAAATATTTAATTTCTGATGAATTTGTTGAATATGGATGAATAGGGATGAATATGGGGGTATATAGACGAATACGATGAATATGATGAATATGGATGAATATGGATGAATATGGGTGTATGTAGATGAATACGATGAATATGATGAATATGGATGAATCATGGATGAATATGGGTGTATAAAGATGAATATGATGAAAATGATGAATATGATGAAAATGATATATATGATGAATATGATGAATATGATGAATAGGATGAATATGAAGAATATGATGAATATGAAGAATATGATGAAAATGATGACTATGATTAATATGATGAATAGGATAAAAATGATGAATATGATGAATATGATGAATATGATGAATATGGAAAAATATGATGAATATTATTAATATGATAAATATGATGAATGAAATTAATATGATGAATATGATGAATATGATTAATATGATTAATTTGATGAATAGAATGTGTAGACTGTAGATATACAGGAAACGTGTATTTGATATTTTTACATATTTAAAAAGTTTAAACATCCTAAATTGTATTAAACAGTAGTAAAACTTATATTTCCCTTCTTCGGTTTCTAAGTTTATATATACAGGGTGAACCAGAATATCTGGGTTTTTATTTTAACTTCCGTGTTTATTAACAGCTGGTATGTTGGGTTTATAAGTTTATATATACAGGGTGAACCAGAATATCTGGGTTTTTATTTTAACTTCAGAGTTTATTAACAGCTGGGATGTTGGGTTTCTAAGTTTATATATACAGGGTGAACCAGAATATCTGGGTTTTTATTTTAACTTCAGAGTTTATTAACAAGGGCTGAGTCTCCCAAAAGAGTTATCAATCTTACATGTTACAGGGTAAAACATAACTTTAGTTTTTTCTGTTCCAGTTTTATGATTGCATAATCTCAATTTATCCTATTTTTACAGGGTGACGCAAAATAAAATTGCTTCTTTTAAAATGGACCAAGAAAACACTTCTTTGTTTTTTTTAAAGGATGACCCATTAACTAATTCGATAAGTTTCCCCTCTTTATTATTTTATGCCTAGGTGCATTGTGCATGATTTGCATGGTTTGCAAGGTTTTAAAGCATGATACAGAATGCAAACATAAACTTTAATTGTTGAAATCTAATCTTTGTTTTAACTGATATGAAGAATTAAACCCCCTGGTTTGTTGGCGAGTAAAGATGGGGGTAAATTCAAACCAAACATTTTTGAAGAGAAAATTTAAAGATTAATTCTATATAATAAAGCTTTTCGCTCTTTAATAATAATAATCTTAATAATTTTTGGAAATCATTTTTCTTACTCAATGAAAGTTTCGAAATTTTTTCTCATTTAAATGAGGAAACATAGACAAAAAAAAAAACAAATTTTTTTTTCAAACTTCGAAATTTTTTATTAAGTGCTTGTGTTTTTTTTAATTCCAACTGGCAACGCCGGGCTCTTCAGCTAGTCATATATAAACCTGATCTAAAATAAATGTTTTCAGGGTTTTTATATTATACTCTGATCTCTCTCTAAAGTTAAGAAGCTGATTTTATATTATACTCAGATCTCTCTCTAAGGTTAGGAAGCTGATTTTATATTATACTCAGATCTCTCTCTAAGGTTAGGAAGCTGATTTTATATTATATTCTGATCTCTCTCTAAGGTTAGGAGGCTGATTTTATATTATATTCTGATCTCTCTCTAAGGTTAGGAAGCTGATTTACTAGCCCATCAAAATTCCCAAAAACTTAGGTTTACAATTTTGCTACAATTTTGGGACACTATTGATAAAATTTCGCTATAATTTGAGAGAATTTTTTTTTAATTTTGGGACACCCCCTGACCTAGGGGTAGATTCTATAAATAGGGACACCCCTCGCGGGACTATGGGTAAATTTTGCAAGTATTTGCACTAAATGAGTTTCATATAGCAAAGGCGGGTGTGCAAAAGAGCAAATTTATGAACGGGGGGGTAGGGGAGGTTTATGATGGCCGAGGGGGTGGGGGTCGGGTTGCAAAACGGCAGATGCAAAAGACCGCGCAGAAAGGATTGTTTTGTATTAGAGGAAGGGAATAAAGGGGAGGGGGTAAAATGAGTAAAACTTTTAAAAGAACGTTTTAAAAGGGATACTTGTCTATTTTAATGTCTCGAATAAAATTGTTCAAATTGTCCTACAACTGCCTAATTTTTTTTTAAAGTTCAAAGAACCGAAAAAGAGCTGCAACATTTAAGAATTAAGAGCCAAAATTTCCCATGTTAAATCTAAAAAGAAAATTTCAAATCATGTTTTAAACATAAAAAGATTGAATGAACAAGTAACAAAGTTGAATAAAAAATACAATTAGAGAAATATTGAATTTTCGTTACTTTCTCTTTAATAAAGCATACTAACCATATAATATACGTATTTGATATATTGTGCTCTAACTTAATCTTAAAGTTTGCAACCGCAGCCCTGCATGCGAATAGTCCTGACCTATATTTTGCACGGAGTTGAGGCAGAAAAACTAACCATAGCTTGTAAATACGCGGAGTCTCGTACATCCATAAAATTCTTTTATTGTAACATGTTGGATTTAAAACTTTCTCCGGCCGACGGTTGTATTTTCTCAATTTCTCAATAAACGTCAAAAAATTGTTCCAAAAAATGTCTAGAACATTAAAAAGACATAAAACTTGTTTTAAAAGGATTCGATGAGTAATTGTACATTTAAGTTAAGATAAGTTCAATTCTGGTCAGAAAAGGTGACGCACAAAAGTAGATAAAAATGAGGATTGAGGAAGCACAATAGTTGAAAACCCAAATTTAAGCACAATAGTAGAAGTACAAGTGAAGTATAGTTGACATAGAACAAATTCAATCCCACTGAAAGAAAGCACAAGCGTGTGGAAGCACAAAGGTTGTAGCACAAATTATACAGAAGAACAAAAATGGAAACACAAAAGTAATAATTTTGAATAGCAAGGATACAATCCCACCTTTCTCCACTAGAAATCCTCCTTCAATCCCACCTTTACCTACTAGAATTCCCCCTTCAATCCCACCTTTCCCTACTAGATATCCTCCTTTAATCCCACCTTTCCCTTCTAGAAATTACCCGCTCCAATCCCACCCTTCTCTACTAGAAAACCTCCTCTAATTCATCCAAACTTTCCCTACTAGAAATCCCCTTTCAATCCCACCTTTCCATACTAGAAATCACCCACTCAAATTCCACCTTCTTTAAATATAAATCCCGCTTCATTCCCACCTTTCCTTTCTAGAAATCCCTCTTCAATCCCACCCTTCCCTACTAGAAATCCTCCTCTAATCCATCCAACCTTTCACTACTAGAAATTCCCTCCGATCCCACTTTTCCCTACTTATAGAAATCCTCCTCCAATCCCACCTTTCACTACTAGAAATCCCCTTCAATCCCACCTTTCCCTACTAGAAATCCCCCTTCAATCCCACCTTTCCCTACAAGAAATTTCCCTCCAATCCAACCTT